ACACAGACAGTGGCAGAACTTCAGTGTTAGTATTATTAGATCTCAGTGCTGCGTTTGACACTGTTGACCACAGCATATTACTAGACCGACTGGAAAACTGGGTGGGACTTTCGGAAACAGTTCTAAATTGGTTTGAATCCTACTTAAAGGACAGAAACAACTTTGTTTCTATAGGTAAATATACATCTGAGTTGACAAATATGACATGTGGGGTTCCTCAAGGCTCCATCTTGGGGCCTCTTCTCTTTAACATCTACATGCTACCACTGGCTCACATAATGAAAAACAACAAAATAAGTTACCATAGCTATGCAGATGACACACAAATGTACGTAACAATTTCACCAGGAGACTATGCTCCAATTCAAACACTGAGTAAGTGCATTGAACACATCAATAACTGGATGTGTCAGAACTTTCTCCAATTAAACAAAGATAAAACTGAGGTAATGGTTTTTGGAGCCAAGTCAGAACGTATAAAAGTTAGCGCTGAGCTTCAGTGTGCAATGTTCAAAACAACAGATAAAGCCAGAAATCTAGGTGTAGTCATGGACTCTGACCTGAGTTTCAACAGTCACATTAAAACTGTTACTAAATCAGCCTACTATCACCTAAAGAATATATCTAGGATTAAAAGACTAATGTCACAGCAGGATTTGGAAAAACTTGTCCATGCTTTTATCTTCAGCAGACTCGACTACTGCAATGGTGTCTTCACAGGTCTCACTAAAAAATCTATTAGGAAGCTACAGCTGATTCAGAACGCCGCTGCTCGAGTCCTCACTAACACTAAGAAAGTGGATCACATCACTCCTGTTCTGAAGTCTTTACACTGGCTTCCTGTGTGTCAAAGAATAGATTTCAAAATACTGCTGCTGGTTTATAAAGCACTGAATGGTTTAGGCCCAAAATACATTTCTGACCTCCTGCTAAATTATTAACCATCCAGATCTCTCAGGTCTTCAGGGACTGGTCAGCTGTCTGTCCCCAGAGTCAGAACTAAACATGGTAAAGCAGCGTTCAGTTATTATGCTCCAAATATCTGGAACAAACTCCCAGAAACCTGCAGGTCCGCTGCAACTCTGACTACTTTTAAATCCAGGCTGAAGACTTTTCTTTTTGTCGCTGCTTTTAATTGAACTATTCATATCTTAGACTGCACTGTAACTTTGATCCATGTACTTTTTTCTTTTAATGTTTAATTGACTGCACTGTAACTTTTATCCATGCATTTTTTCTTTTAATGTTTATTTTATTAGCTTTTCTTTTTAATGACTGATTTTAAATGCCATTTTCTTAATCTCTTTCATTTTTTGTTAAGCACTTTGAATTGCCTTGTGTTGAAAAGTGCTATATAAATAAACTTGCCTTGCCTTGCCTTGCCCCGTGTTCTCAAGAGGAGGCCGACACTCGTCTACTTCTGCATGTGGCAGATGCTGTGCAAAAGGGGTGTAAGAAGGTGACCATAGGTACAGTTGATACCGATGTGGTGGTACTGGCTGTGGCTTCATTCAGCAAAATAGCTCCTGATGAGCTGTGGGTTGCCTTTGGTGTTGGATCAAGCTTTCACTACATAGCTGTTCATGAAATTGTTGCCCCAATGAATCCAACAAAGTGTCTGACTCTCCCAGTCCTTCACGCTTTCACCGGGTGTGACACCGTCTCTGCCTTCGCTGGCAGAGGGAAGAAGACTGCCTGGGAAACGTGGAAGTCTTTCCCAGAGGTGACTGGTGCTTTCAATGAACTCTTATGCATGCCAAGTGAGGTCAGTGAAGGATCAATGTTACTGCTGGAGCGATTTGTGGTGCTGATGTACGACCGAACCAGTGAGAGCATGGAGGTGAATGATGCCAGGAAACAGCTCTTCACACAGAAGTCTAGATCTCTAGAGAACATTCCTCCAACCCAGGCAGCACTGAAGCAGCACATCAAGCGCACTTGCTACCAGGCCAACTGTTGGAACCAGGCATTGGTCCTGGATCCAGAGATGCCAGAGCCGTCTGACTGGGGCTGGACAGAGGAAACAACTGGGTGGCAGCCACTTTGGACCACTCTACCTGAAGCATCAAAATCGTGCCATGAATTGATCCACTGTCGATGCCAGAAAGGGTGCACTGGACGATGCAAGTGTGCCAAAGCTGCACTGAAGTGCACTGCACTATGTTTCTGTTCTGAAACTCAAATCTGACTTCCCTCCACATCTGAAAATAAACCTTATGGTATGCACTAACTATGCTAGAAATGTCATGCTTTTCTCATAAAATGCACAATTGTTGTGCTTATCCGCTGTACTAACGTGCTTGATGTGAACGAGCATTTTGGTTAAAGTTGCGCATGCTCTATGAGTGCACATACGGGTACTTCTCAGGCATGCCGGATAATCTGTGACGTTTCACTCAAAAGTTGGGCCATTTTATCATCATGCGCTAATGAGCAACTCTCATAGGAATGAATGAAGCCCCGCCTCCCACGCTGTATCCAGTTCTTATTATACATCCATGATTGGGACGCTACTCAAGATGGCGCAGATAAATCAACTTCCGGTGTGACCGAGGAGCGAGGAAATGAAAAATAAGAGAAGTGAAACGCAGCCCTGGCGTCACGCCCATCCAGGATTTGGGCCCGCTGATGATGATTCAGGGCTGAATACAACATTTTAATTGTTTTATTATTAGGCTATGTTTATTGTTGTTATTTGTAGGGCTTTGTCCTAATATTTATTTTTGTTTTAAACTATGTTGAAAGATTAGTTAAATATCATTTTTTGATTTTGCTATGAAATTCTGGATGAAAGGCTGCGAGCGAGACTGTTTTTTCGCTGGGTTGAGTCGTGTGAGTTTTTGAGTGAGGTGCGGCACAGCATGTCTGTTTACTCTTGCTAGGTTAGTTTGGCTATTATCATTTATATTTATCTGCAACAATGGATATCAGGAAGTGGTTCATGAAAGGAATATGGCAACTCAGCGCTAGATGCAGGCACATTAGAAGACATCAGTTACGTTACCAACGAGCTAGCAAGCCAGCCAGGGACAAGGGAGGCTGGCAATCAATTATATTTTGAAGAGAAATTGACTCTCAAGCCGGCTCTCTCACAAACTCCTGCTCTGTGCGCAAGTAGACCGCTGCACACTCTCTGCCTCGCTCAATCTCTCTCTCTCTCCCTTTCTCTCCATCGCTCAACCTCACTCCACCTCTCCACCCTGCGTGCGCTCCTCAAGTTTGCCTGCGTGCTTGCCCAAGTTGGCACAGCGTTACAAATGTGCCACAAAACCAACCAATGGATGTAGCCGATAATAAGACCGTCAACAGCCTTATGGCAACCTAAAACCCCTCTGTTTCCTAAACTGTTTCCCCCCCCGGAAATGTAAGTTTCGGGGTGGGCCCGCCTTGGTAAATCAAATGACCGCCCAGAGACGTATGTCTGCAGCCGGGTCTGCCAGCAAGTAGCCTGCTGGCTGGATCCTGTGAGGAAAGACATGCAGAGTTGTGTTGAAAAAGGCAGAGCTAAAAGATGCAGATATGGCATGTCACTAAATACATTTACTCCGGTAGGCCTATACTGTAGGCTACTCTAGTAGACTTACACTTTTGAAAAAAGCCCACTTGTACTTTACCTCATTATTTGCATTGTATGCTACTTTCCACTTATATAACTACAATTCACAGGCAAATATTGTACATATGCACCTGTACGTGTGCACATATGCTAAATTATTATGTATTATAGATCAAACTAGTCGTATAAGGCCAATAGGACACCTTTACCAGTTGTAACATTAAAAACAATAATGCATCAGCATCCCTCATTATAATGCAGTAATATAATATTTACAATTCTGAAAGTGAGCAATCGACGCAATGAGAACTCTTACTCTTACTTTTGGGGCTTTGGGCTTTCATGTAAAACCTTTATTGTTTTCTGTAAAACAACCTAGTTTAAGAATATGTTCTCCAGCAATTATGGGTTGGATACATGTGAAGTTAGGCTGTAAAAGTTAGTGCTCAAATATTGTGTACAAAATGTAGACAAAGTCTCTTTGAACGCCAAGGCATGTTGATGCTAACATTTATCTTGATTTATTAAGCAAAACATCACTTTTAACAACGCTCTTGTGCTTGATAGGAATCTGATAACTATCTGCAGATCCAATCTAAGGACAAACTCATAAAGTATTTAGCAATCTATTCTTCTTATCTAATCACGTCTCCAAAACTGAACATGACCAGTTCCACTCTAAATTGCTGGTTGTTAACATATACTGTATCTATAAAACTTGCTGAAATTTATGAAATTACATTTATCCTCACAGTTTGCTTAATGTTTTATGAATGTGCAGCACTGGCATGAATAGAGCAAGAGCAACATCTTAAAAAGGATTTAAAATGAAAATGCACACTGGCACATTATCCTTATTATTTTCATGGTTCTGTCAATATTATTAATGACGTTCGTTCTTTTTACAAGCTATATAATAAACTTTGACTAAGAGGAATAACATTTTTGATTGTTTGAGCATTTACACCACAATGAGTTTTATTATGAACCAGAAATCTGATTTTCCTCGAGCAATCACTCTAGTTACTTTCGCTGGGTCTATAAACACCCCCTGTTCCTTGAAATGGTGGCGTAGCTCCAGACTTTGATAAGTCGTTTTCATCCATTAAGCATATGATATAAAGATGAATTGATGATTTAGCATCATGGTCAGAGCCATATAGCTTATCATAATCCTGACATTTTATATTGTGTCAGTTTGATCAGTTGTAAACATGCAGAAATTACTTAGATGTATAAGAAAACTGCTGCTTGAGATAGTGAGAATACGACTTGTAATGTGGTTGATTGTCATCCAGATGAACTGATAAGAGGAAGATATGATCGACAGTAAAAGAGTGTGAGAAGAAATTATATTTCTTCAGTTCCCACAAGAAGGGCCTTCTTTTCCTTTCTGAAACATTGTCCTCTTGGGAACTCTTTTCCATCTCCACCCCTTTTTCAGGTATACAACACTCTTTTACAGTCATTCTCTCCCTGAGACTGAGGGTGAAAAGAAGAGGGCATTACACAAACCCCTCAGTGTGAAAGGAGCTCAGTGTCTCTCCTCATCATGACTGGATCTGCACTCCTGATTCTTGCGGCCCTTGTTGGATCCTGCATTCAGTTTACAGGTAAAGTACAGGATGTGTTTTTATTTAATTTAACTATTTTATAAAGTTTATACACTGAAATAGTAGTTGCTGCCACAGACCTTGAAAGCTGGCATCGTCATGTGATGAGATCAGAATGATTTGGTTACTGAATAGCCAGTCTGCGTTTTTTAAAGGATAGTTGTGAACATAGAGGCACTGTTGTTGGATGCATTGTCTACCCTAGTTCAACATTAACAGGCCGTTTGCCACAATAGGGATGAAAGTAGGTGATATCTACAAAATACTGGCTTTATTTATGTATAACAAAATTGGAGCTTTCTGAAGGATTACATGGTGATATGCACAGATTAAAGAAAATGTTACCAAATCCATTCTAGTTTATATGAAATGCAAGTGTTAATGTGAAAAAATTAGATAAGGATGCAAAGTAAAATAAAAAAGTACATTGAATGCAGTCATCATTAATTAGTACTGACCTCTATGGTCGAATCAATCATGATACACTTAAAAGGAAAGGTAATTTCTGCCAAGTTTTCATACAAAATATTATTTTTAGATACTTCCCAATGTTACAAAATATGCTGTATTCAAAAGTAAAAAACAGAATTACAATTTATTACAATAAGCATTTTTGTATTACCTGTTAACACTTGAAAATTATTCACTTTTTTCGAAAAATGCACTGTTTTTAAGTGAAAATGTAATTGTGAGTTCATGTATTTTGTTATCTTAATAATGTAGTAAAAAAAAGGTTTTGTTTCCTTATTACATCACATGTAGGTGCTATCAATGATCGAAAAAATGACCTATCAACAGAGCAGGTAGAGTATGACATTTATATGTTTTTGTAATCTAGGAAATGCCCTGATACTCTTATCAATGATCAGTCTAATGTTTTTTTTCCCTCTGCTACAGGCAGAAACATACATGCCGCTACTCTGCTCACCAACACCCGACCCCTTATCCCCATCCTCTTCAGGTAATGCGCTTTGCAATCAATATCAATAATCATATCAATCTGACTAGAATGTGATCGCTTTCTATGACATATTTACTTCACATCATCATCTTGCTTTGTTCTGTGACAATGCTTCTTCACCCCCCCTGCTTCCTCTCCATCAGTTCATACTCTCAGACCGGGTGATATCTCAGCTGTTTATGTCTTGGGAACTCCAATCTCACACAGGTATACATCCAATTATATACACTGAACAAAAATATAAACGCAACACTTTTGTTTTTGCTCCCATTTTTCATGAGATGAACTCAAAGATCTAAAACATTTTCTATATACACAAAATAACCATTTCTCTCAAATATTGTTCACAAATCTGAAAGAATCTGTGATAGTGAGCACTTCTCCTTTGCCGAGATAATCCATCCCACCTCACAGGTGTGGCATATCAAGATGCTGATTAGACAGCATGATTATTGCACAGGTGTGCCTTAGGCTGGCCACAATAAAAGGCCACTCTGAAACGTGCAGTTTTGCTTTATTGGGGGGGTCTGGGGGGGTCCGAAAACCAGTCAGTATCTGGTGTGGGGTAGGGTGAACAATATTTGAGAGAAATGGTTATTTTGTGTATATAGAAAATGTTTTAGATCTTTGAGTTCATCTCATGAAAAATGGGAGCAAAAACAAAAGTGTTGCGTTTATATTTTTGTTCAGTGTATTTATCGGAATACCTTACTTTAGTAATTAACAAATGTGGCTTCCTGAGCAGAAGCTTATGTGTTATGTGTTGTGTCTCTCAATATGACGTTGTGTCACTAGTGATGAAGCATCCCGAGTAGTCAAGAGAGTTGCTGGTAAGTCTTTAAACCTTCCACCACATGCCTTAATCACCACTTATATAGTTATTTACTATCTCAAAATAAATATTTGTTAAATGATCTAGAATACCTAGAATGTGACAATGGTTTTAAACATAATTCCTACTGTATGTAATCTATCCAGGGGAGATAAGAGCTTTGAATACATCATGTATCGTTTTTCTACAGATGTCATTTATATTTTGCTGTCAGACCATGACTTTGTTCAAGGATCATTACACAGAAAATGTCAGATAATAAGGCATAGTTTATCTTCATTGATAAGGGATGAGGCCATAAAGACAGGTCGTTGACCTTCATTTCACATAATAGTGAGGAAAATGTTAACGGACATGAATGGATGCTTTCATTTACTTCCTTTTTCACAACAGCAGTTGCAACATAGTGTACATATTGCACTATTTATCGTAAGGAATTGTACTTGCTGTAGTTAAGCTTGTGTCTTTGTGTGTTGAATAGAGCTGCTGTCCATGTTTAACCCTGAAGTTATCACACAACATGTGGAGCAGACCTCACAGCAGCCCAGGTAACATATACACACTAATACACTCACACAAAAGCAGTAACACACATACATGCTTTGTAAGAATTGTACTGCAGGTGTGTTATATGTGAGTGTGTGTGTTGCAGAAACTTGTTGGAGGAAGCTGAGGAACTGTCTCTATCCCTTTCAAATCAGGTACACATTAACCCTATGGTAACAACTTGTTAAAGTCTACAACCTGTATTTCCTCTATAAGCCCTGGTAGGCAGATTGTTGCCTTTGGAGGAAGCCAGACCTGCTCTTTCTCTGTTACTCTAGGCTCAGCTAAGCTAACCTCACCTGGCTGAAGCTTCACCAAATTGTTCATATAACACCTTTAAACCAAATATAAAATCATGGCAGTGACAGAAAAATGAAGGACATGTTTTTTTTAATTGAAGAACATTCTCTGGGTTCTTTAACTACTCCCACTGGCCCAGAAATGTGAAGTCAGGTTAGATGAATACCAATCATTTTATGTTTTAAATGAGGGTTTGACTAAACATCAGATTTATCCAGAGTCTGCTCTGCCTGATTAGCCAGTGTCAGATCTGCTAGATTGTAGGTCTCGATGACCCTTAACATGAAACATACCACCTTTTACCCACTTCTCAAAGTGGATGCAGTAACTTCAGTTTTTCTCTTCCTTATGTCTTTGCAGGTGATGGATTGGAATCTTGTGCTGCTGTTTGTCTCGGCAGATTCCCTGTGTGCCTGTTCACCACATGTAAGATTCCTCACAACAACAAAATCATGTTTGATTATAAAAGATACAAGTTATTAAAGGACCTTAAGAGTGTAATGCTGTTTCTCTCTGTTTCAGGTGGCTGCAGATGTTAACGCTGTTGTGCAGGAAGTAAAAGCAGCTCTCCAGTTGTTGGAGAAAAGGGTATATCACCTTTTGTTCAATAGAGTTTTGCCATGCATATTGAATGGAAAAAAACTAATATGCTATGTATATGTTTACAGTTATATCACACTTTAGTTCATGTTGTCGTCTGGAGCACAAATCATCTGCAGGACAAGTAAGTGTTTTACATTTTAGTTAATAAAAATCTAGCAAAATACCTAATTTACTTGACATTTTGAAATAATAGAATCCTTTATTTACATGCACATAGTCTAACATGATGTGTTTTAAAAGACAAGTGGCATTCATGTGTTTTATTTTTATTTTCTGGCAGTTGTGAGTGTATGAGCGATGAAAGCATAAACCAGAGACTACACAAAGCAACTCTTTTGAAAACACTTCAGGTAAAATCCATGTAAATAAATAATACCTATAATGTGCTTGTGGCATCTGAGTCATATTCAGCTACTAACTCCTTTTCACTCTTTTTGTATTTTGGTGACAGGACTCTCTTGGTCATGTTTTGGAAAATCCAAAGTGGCACAGTAAAAGGGAAGACTTCACCGCCGTGCTGCAGTCTACACCAGTCATCCTTGAACCTATCTCAGAATTTGTAAGTGGAAAAACTATATACATATTTCCAGACACCAGTTAAAATGAACCATTATGTACTAAAAAATGGAAACAGTTCAGCCTTCCTTCCTGGAACAATGCATAAATACTCTTGAAATGGCTAATCTGTAACTAGCATAACATTTCCGTGTGTTTCTTTTTAGGAGAAAACAGTTTCTGAATCAAACCAGTTAGCTATTCAGCTGTGGACTAACCTGGTAAGTTTTATTATTATTATAATGAATATATGAGTCAAAGTCCTGAAAAACAAGCACATGTAGAGTGTATTGACAAAACAACATGCTAAAAACACTGATGTTATCCTGACACTGGAATTGACCCTGAGTCTTTGTTGTAAAAATGAACTGATCATAATCATATCATAATCTCTCAAAGCAGAAGTGAGATCGAGGAGTGATTACTGTGAAAGTTTATAACTCTGAGAAGAGATTAGATAAAAGATGTAAAGATTAACTTGATGACATCATCTTATCCTATAGCCTGGAGCAAATACATCAATATTCAGAATTGTCTTAGCAGTGCTGTTAAAGGCTGCATGGCTATTGGCTGCTCAGAAATGGCCCCACTTAAACCAAAATATATGAACCAATCATGATGTTTCCTCCTGCAGCTTCAGCCTTCCACAAATGAGGCAGAGGTCATGGACACAAGCATCTTTACTATTCCTTGCCCTACCCAGGTGCGTCATGTCATCCCATAACACTGCGACAAGGAATTGCTTCACAAAATGTGTTGCAGCATCATTCAGTACTAAAGATATGATCGATATCAAGATTTTAAATCTGATGTTAAGGTTATAACTTGTTTTTCACCTTTATCCCAGCAACGACCTTTCCTGCGGACACAGAACAATTCCCCTACTGAAACAGAGGGCAAAGTTTACAGCAAATCTTCTACACTTATAGATCCTGTAAGTCCTTCAACTCAACCTCACAACTACACTGTAGAATAATGCATTCATTCTTCTTCATTCTTATTTGAGAGTACTGTGCGTTTGCAGGTTATGGGGACTAAGATACTTTGTACAGACCGCAGTTCATCTCCCACCACACCCACTTCAGGTCAAAAACACATTTCTTAGCTTTTATTCTGCTAATGTATTACTGGAAATGTACTTCAATCCAAACCCTTTATCCTCTTTTTAGTTCATGAACTCAGACCTGGAGATATCAAGGTGGTGGCAGCAGTAGGCGACTCTCTTACAGTGAGTGTCTCCTTCCTCCTTCTTTCCCTTAAATGTATATCTGAAAACAGTATTCCAATACATATGAATATGGAATAAGAGTATACAGTATATGTAATGGAGATGTTATGTGTTGTGTGGATGTTTTCGGACATGCAAACACAATCACCGACGTATAAAACACTTAGGATAGGAGTCGATAATAAGGCTAAATGAAAAGACATGGTGCCCAAATTATAACTTAAAAACTATTTAAAGATATTTGCATATAGTCTTAGATACCCCCACAGCTGCAGTCATAGTTGCACAAATATTTCCTCTGGTTATACTCAATCTCACATCAGATGTTTTTTGCAGGCAGCCAATGGTGTGGGTGCAAAGACAGACAACCTTCTGTTAGTGATTACTGAGTACAGAGGACTTTCATGGAGGTAAGAGAAGCTAAAGTACTCATTTGTTCACATTTGTGGAAAAATACTTGTAAGGTACATTTGAAGCTAACATGCTGTTTTCCTAAATTTCAGCATTGGTGGTGATGGAAACATTACCACTGTGACCACCCTGCCAAGTATGTTTGTCTCTTTTTTATTTAAATTGTAATATCAGCCTGAAAATAAATAATGTAAAACTGCTTCCTTAAGGTTTATCTCTATGTGAGGTCCATCATTATCTAATTGAAGCATTGTGCTCGATAATGTCTATTGTTATGGTGTCTTATCACCATCATTATAGAACTCAGTTTTACTGTAAAGCAGATAATGACCATAATAAACAATACATTAAAGGATGTCTTTGGTTATCAATATTAAGATACCAAATATTCAATAGATGTTAAAAGATTATTCAATTAAATGTATTAGAGATGCTGTAAATTGCTTATTTAAATAAATCTATAGAAATGCAATACAAAGTGGAACATAATGATGAATTAAAATCGTTTCACAGAAATATCATGTTGAAGTTCACGTGACTTATTATCGCGGTTGGGAACTTTGAGATTGTGTTAAATAGTACCGTTATGGCCAGTTCTACGCTGATTATGCTGTTTAGTATAAACAAAAAAAATTTCATTACATTTATTATAATATTTAACAACCTTATATCTACTACAGAATACAGGACGTGCAATATCATGTGTAATAATGTTTCCATTTCATTTTGTCGGAATTTCCTGTGTCCTTGCTCTGCAGACATCCTGAGGGAGTTTAACTCCAACCTGACCGGCTTCTCAGAGGGAGAAGGTGATGAAAACTCTCCGACAGCCTTCCTCAACCAGGCAGTGACAGGAGCCAAGAGTAGGTGTGTCATCATTTTAAGTTTTAGCAGGTCACATCAGTAAAAACAAAATGTCACTTTTACTATCCAACCTTTTTATTTTCAGTGACATGGTGCAACAGGTGCGTGTCCTAGTGGACAAAATGAAAAATGATCCGGTAAGACATTGGTAAACTACAATAACACACACATGCAGATATGGTTTCAAGTAACCTTTGTTTCAGTTTTATGTTCACAATTACCACATTACCAAAACATTTAACTCTTATCTCTTTAACAGGGTATTGATTTCCATAACGACTGGAAAGTGATCACCATGTTTATTGGTGGCAATGACCTATGTGACTTCTGCAAAGACAGCGTGAGCAAAACTTTTTTATTGAAAAAGTTGGCATTATGCTTTGCTTGTTTTCATGGGATTGTTGAACTGTCTTAAATTATCTAAAAAATAAAGATTTAGGATCTGTTGTTCAAGGGATATAACATATCTAGCCACAATAATCCAAAACATTATAAGCTATTTATTTATGATTGATACATTTTTTTAGTCAATGAAATTCCCATCAGCGCTGAATGATACATATTCAAATTGCACATTTTGTTGGATTAACAGTCAAAAAACATAATGAAGGGCATATTTAGAATTTGAACCAGAACATAAATGCTTGCAAAAATTACCTACTGACTCAAAAGATTAATTTATTACCAAAAAAAGTGTCTTATTATTTGCACAGGATCAACTTCATGTTTTGGATCTTGTGTTCTTCCACAGGTTTTTTTCTCACCCAGAAATGTCATCAGTCGTATTAGACAAGCTCTGGACATTCTCCATAAAGAAGTAGGTTTTCCTCTTGTTGCACAAACAAACAACCTCACTGAATGTCAGCAATTTCAAAGTCATAATCCAAACACGCACCCCTTACAAACGTGTTTTGCGTCATCCAGGTGCCTCGTGCCATCGTCAATCTGATAGAGCTGTTAAACATTGTACCATTGCGTGATCTTCACAAAGATAAATCGTTGGGCTGTCCTACCTGGCTTGTAAGGTAAGCGGTTTTTTTTTATGTGAGGAAGAACACTGACCAAGTCATTCTTTAACAGTGTTGATGTTTATCTTTCAGTATAATCTGCCCGTGCATACTGAAGCCTAAAGATGGATCCTCTGAAATCAAGAAGGTCAATGAGTTCAATGAGGCCTACCAGGTAAAAGACAAAGGGTTTCTTTTTGAACCATATTCTTAAGTACTGAAAGCTTTTACAATCCATTTCTTTCCAACCAGCTTTCCATGAGAGAGCTCATAGACTCCGGTCGGTATGACACACACGACAACTTCACTGTGGTGCTGCAGCCTTTCCTAAGAGAGATATACCTGCCTAAGTTAGAGGTAACATACCTGAAACATTAAATATACCTATTACATTTTATTAAATATACTTTTATTTTATTTATTTCTGAATTGCTTCTCTCCTGTCTCTTCTTTTTGAATAGGATGGGCGTCCTGACCGCTCATACTTCTCCCCCGACTGTTTTCATCTCAGCCAGAGAGCTCACACTATCATGGCTAAGGGTCTTTGGAACAACATGGTATTTGCTTAATTAAAAGACATTCTTTACATTCATATTTTGGCATATGTAGATATTTCTCTCATTATGATCCAAAATAAATCACTGACTTTCCCTATCTCTAGTTAGAGCCAGTGGGCAACAAGACCTTTAGACAAGACTTCTCCGCTGCCATTGATCTGAAGTGTCCCTCTGAGGTAACTGCGCCATCAAATGATCAAAAACTACACATTATATGCTCTTATTTCTTATCAGTTTCTTTATTAATGTGTTTTTATTATATCTTTATCAGACCAACCCATTTTTTAGGACTGCTGTCAACAGCGACTACACCTATCCAGGCCCTCCCCCCACCCCTGCTCCTATTAAAGTACGTCACAGCTTCTGTTTTTCATACAGCACAACTTAGAATAGCAAGTAATTATTATTAATGCCTGATGCCAAGTAACAGAGTATAAATCCCAGCATGTCTCTGTGTCATTTAGAACTGGGGCAGGGACTTTTCCTGTGTTAACACAGCTCCATCCAACTCCGTGCCCACTTCAGGTAAGCAGTTACTGTGTATCTCATTACAATAAAGGAAATAATAATGTTATGTTATGATATGTAAATTATGCTAATGTTGATTTTTTAGCTCACAGGATACGACCAGCTGACGTCAAAATAGTGGCTGCTGTGGGAGACTCTTTAACGGTACGTTTGTACCAAGTATGTTTTACATTTTGTGTGATAAAAAGGTCTTTATTACAGCACTTTGGATTGTGTCTTAGTCTTGACTTGATATACTTCATTCTTATTTATATGTTTTGTCTCTGCCACTTTAATTTCAGGCTTTCTCTTAAAAAAGTGGAGAAAAAAGAGGAGTATGTACTAGCATACCATTAATTGTAACAGGGCACTATTTATTTAGACAAATTATGAAATGGATTTGTTTGCATAAGTTATAAAATCAACTTAATGTTTTTATCCAATGTTGTTTTAGTAATTTATTGATTTGTGCATCATTTCTGCAAATCCAGGTTGTCATATTTAGTTTCTGTTTCTGGAAGTCCATAAAGTTATATTTATTGAATGTGTCAGAAATATATCTAACAAATATTTTTTTGTAGACCGCTTTTGGGGCAAAGGCAAAGAATCTTCTCCAGCTAAGAACTGAGTACACTGGGGTGTCATGGAGGTGAACGACTGCAAACAAACTATAAACACACACCTGTACATACACTGCGTTGTGATTTGCATTTTAATATATCTGATGTATTTTGTTTTAAAGCATTGGAGGAGACAAAACACTTGAGACTGTCACAACATTACCCAGTAAGTCCCAAGCCTTATCTGTTCTGTGTTGTCAAATAATTCACATTAACTCCACTAGATGGCAGATTCGGGCTGTAACAAAACATTTTCTCTTTTGCTTTAATTCCTTCTATTTTTACATCAGATATACTTAAGAAGTTCAATCCTGAAATCAAAGGATTTTCAAAGGGAGTAGGGAAAAGGCAGACTGCCTTCAACATGGCCGTATCAGGAGCCAAGATAGCGTGAGTTATACATTTTTTTGATCTGTTATCAGGTTTGAATGCCTCCCTTTCATGTGTTATGTTATAAGTATTTGTGCACTCATGAATAATGTCATGCAGGGGAATCCCAGGGCAAATCAGGAAGCTGATTGACACCATGAAGAATGACACCGTGAGTTTAACCTACGCACAATGCAAATGCATGCACTGTTTTGTAACCACAACTTATATTGTGCAAGACAAAACATTATATTTGCTCCATCTCTATTTCTTTCTAACCCTCATTCTGACAAAAATAGACGGTGGATTTTGAGAATGACTGGAAGCTGGTGACCCTCTTCATCGGAGGCAATGACCTGTGTCAGTACTGCAATGACCGGGTGAGTTGCTCTGAGAAGTCGTCATCGGAAATGATATTTTCAAAGCACTCCCCTCAGTTAAAAAGTATCTCCTGCCGCATCACAGTGGTCAAACAGCCCGTAGTGTCGTGTGATGCCCTGTGTAGAGCCGTCTCATGATATCACTGTCCAAATGGGACCACGCACTGGAGCAGAATAATCAAGCTTTGTGAGCAACCCTCCCCTAATTGTTTTATTGTGTCAGAGTAAGATGAGAGCAGACATGGTTTATTTTCAATGAGCACATTCTGTCACACGAAACACCCTCCCTCCCTGCTCCATCTCGGCCTATGTCTGCGTTAAACAAGCACACGAGGCACAGTGACATGCCTTGTTCTCCAAGAGGCATAAACAACACAGAGGTCACCCAGACTCTGTTCATCCTGTCTCCCTCCCTCCTTCTTCTTCTCCTCTGTCTTTCTTCTTTATCATTTTGCCTCCATTTTCCCTTTTTTCCTCTCTCTCCATTACTCCCGTTACGCTCCCCTGACACGGTACTCTCTCTTTTAATGTTTGTGCTTTGAAGCAGAATATCAAAAGACAGCATCAATTTAAGATGAGCTCTGAGACTGTGGTAGTGACAGCTTAGGGTTCGTTGTTGCTTGTACACTTATACATGTTGCATGGCGTCGGCTCTTTTTGGTTTATATATACTTTTTTAGCTACATTTTTGGCCAGTTTCCCCTGTTTTTTGCCCTCATTATTCTATTTGTCTATGGTCGCAAAACAGAAGAGTTGTTCATGAAAAAGTAGGCATTAAACTACATGTGTTCACTATGGATTAGTTGAAAACCGTGTGCAATGTGTGTAATTTCATTATTCCTTTTGTCTCAAAACTACAGGCCACTCTGTCACTTCAGAACTACAGCCTTCATATGAAGACAAGCTTGGATATGTTTTACCAAGAGGTAAAGTAATTATCTTATCTACAAAACAAATATTGTTTATTATGCATAGAATACCATAACCGTCCAGAATATTATAATAATTATCCAGCTTTCCATCCCAGATTTACATTTTCTTCTCTTCCCTCAAGACAGCATTGATAAAAGAATGAATTTTACTCTTTGAAACTGCATAAAGCTAATATTTTCTTGCCCTTCCAGGTTCCCAAGATAATTGTCAACATCGTGGAGATCCTAGAAATGGAAGGCCTTCGCAAGATCAAAAAGGATAGTCTTGGGTGCAGTGTGTTACAACCGTAAGCTCATCGATCCACTCATGCCCAATCAATTCCACATGAATTAAGAGCACTCAGTCCACGGTAGATTGCTCGTTCGAATCAAAGCCACTTCTGTATAGTCAATCCAGAAAACATTTGTTTTTTCAAAGGATACCTCATCTCTGAATCAATGATAATGTAGCATACCGAATCAATTAATATATAAAATGTAACACCACTTTTATAAATTCGCTGTTTAATTTTCTCCCTTGATCCTCAGGTTGGTCTGCCCGTGCTTCTTGCAAACAACAGAGGATTCCCCAGAGCTGGCTGAAATAAAACGTTTCAATCGGGATCTACAGGTTAGCCAGCCGGAACACTGAGGTCAAAATGTGTGACCAGCAGCATTTAGTTAGAGTCTCACCTCCACTCAGAAAGAGTTTTTACACAAACAGGATAGTTTCACATGTATCTGCTGACGGAGAGAAAAACTTCACAACAAACATCACAACTAGTTTGTAAGCCAATCATGGTCCAATATATAACATGTGATGATGGGGACTACTCATGTTAAGTAATTCGACTAAATTGACTTTATTTGTTTGTACAGAAGTCTTTTAACTTGTGTTCTTTCTTTTAGTTTGAGACAGAAAATGTTGCGTATGGTGGGGGCTATGATGATAGAGAAGACTTTGCTGTGGTTGTGCAGCCCTTTTTTAAGAACACTATCATTCCTATGAATGCTGTAAGTCTTCCATGTACCCCTGAACTTCTACTGCACTCTACATTTACAAATACATGATCTTTATAACTGTAATAAGCCCTGCCCCTCAAAGCACATGATTCCCACTGACACCTATCGTATTATTTCTTCTCCAGGAAGGCAGACCTGACACCACTTACTTCTCTGTGGACTGTTTCCACTTCAGTGAGAGGGGACATGCTGACATGGCTTCAGCTCTGTGGAATAACATGGTGAGTCCAGCAGGCGGACAGTTAATGGCTGACTGTTTGACAGGGGAAGTGTTGTGAATAAGTGTAAAAGATCACATCTCAAGTTAGTCATGTGCTGAGAAAACATGTTCTTTGTTGTATCTCTAGTTGGAGCCAGTGGGTAGAAAGCAGACATACAACAATTTCACAAATGCAAGAAATAACATCAAGTGCCCGACTGAGGTAAGAATAAAAGCATGTCTCATTGTGCTACTGATGTCCCACTTGTGAGATATCTGTGTAATTTGTACATACAAGCAAGATTTGCTCAAATGTGGATGTGATTGAATAAAGGACTTTTTCTGTTCCAGGAGCATCCTTACATCTTCACAAAGGTGAACAGCTTGCCCAGTCCAGCCACCACCACCACCACCACCACCACCACCACCACCACTACATCACCCACTGCTCACAGCACAGCCCTGCCTCCCCCCTTTGAATGCACAAACACCGTGCCAGTGTGGCTTGCTGCTGTGCTGGCTGTTACAGGTCTTCTGATTGGCTGGGCTGTCACCTGGCTCCTGCTCTGCTGCAGAGACAAGAGAAGCAAGAAGAAGATGACAGCTGTGGAGATGAAAGGCACTGGGTTTTAAATGCTACTTTTTTCTTTGCACTGGACTATTCAAGGAGTCAAGGAACTACCAAACAACTTTTCCGTTAACCATGTCTGCTTTAAATAGAAAAGTTAAATATTGTCCTGTAACCACAGACAATCTTAGTGGATGCAAAGGTGGTATAGGCAGACCAGTCTGGACAGAATTATGCTTCATTAAAAGTCCTGCATTCAAACACCACTAAAGCGCAAGGCATGGACTTAATGAGACAATGCAGCCACCGACTACTACTAATTTAAATAAGTAGATTTCATATGCAAAAGTAAAGTGTGAAATTACTGGCTACACATTAACTTATTACTGCTGTTATATATTTAATTGTATTAAAAGGGTTGAGAGGTAGATGGTATTGTTTGATGTACAAAGTGTTAAGCCCCTTCAGGTAAATGTGCAATTTGTAATGTTGGGCTCTATAAAAATGTACTTGACCTGACTTAAAATGGAAATGTATTATTATGTACCAGAATGTTAAAATAAAAGTTGTGCAGCACAATCTTAGCAGATGTAAATACGAATTAAACATGTGGCAATTATGTGCATGATAACTAACTTGGAAATAAAATCAAATGTGTTATATCCTCTTTTTTATTTCAATGTCTTCGCTTGTAATAATTGTAAATGTTTGTTGATATATCTGGAATAAATTATTTGTAATCATTCATATAAACTGTAATCTAGCGTGATTGTTTGTATGACATCTGCACAGTCGGACAAGTCCAGGCATATTGTTGCCTGTCTGGCAAATCCCCACCATAACACCTAAATGATTTTTTTTTATTATTAAATACAGAGGAAATTCTGAACATATCATAAATTACATAAACCACCCATCCAGAAATGATTCTGCTTGGCTCGAATCACAGATCAGCCTGCATGTAATGGTCGTCATAATAACCACAGGTCAAATAACCCATTGAAAAAAGAAAAAAGGGGGTTGATTGTATTGCAAGAATAAGGCATTTTTTCACTTCTCTTATTTGAGAGCTGAAATCATCACTTTCATTGCGCATATATATATATTGCTTTGTTAAATAATTATGGTGTATCGCTATACCCAAAATTACCCAACAATAAAATAATTCATATTAGCTCAACCTGAACCGGCTACAACATAAAAAATATTCTTTACTATTTTTTGCATCAGTAAGAATGATTCAAACCCCATAATGTACACATCTAACAAACAGGATTATATGCTTTTACTTTTGATGTTTTAAGTATATTTTTCAGTAAATGTATCCATCATGATCATGCACGGTTACTGTTGTATTGACAACAGCGCCTCCTGGTGTATGTAGCGGGGATCGAACCGGCCAGCACTACCACATCAGTGTGAAGATGGCGGAGGGCGAATTGAACGTGGACAGCCTCATCTCTCGGCTCCTGGAAGGTGAACACTTTGAATAATGTCTCTAATGTTTCACAGAGTTAGCTGTTTGTGTTCTCTAAGCTTGGTCCGATATGTTTTCTGTAACTACCGCGGTTGCCTCTGCACACGCAGTGAAAGTGTTAGCATGTGGGGCTAACGCCAGCCAATTGTAACGGTGTATCTCCGGCTAGCTGTTAGCTGGCCGTGTTTATAAACACAGCAGTGAACGCCTACATTTCTCAGTTTTCGCAGTTATGGTAACATTACTCCAAATAAGTAATACTGCTGTGTCGTAGTCTTCACTTAAGCATGTATTAAAAGTTGTTGGTGTGTTCGGGTTTATTTAATCTCCAAATGATGAAGGGCTGGAACTATCCTGACTCCTGTCCGTTTTAACATACAGTCTATGGTTTTAACATTAAAATGCAACGCATGAACATGTTGTCATGGCAGTGACGGTCGGAACTGTTACGCACTTTTAATGTTAAATAAGTTAATATATTTAAAACAAAATAATGTGTTTAACATCAATTTTTACCAGCATCCCAGTCCATACATTGTTCAATATCCGCGGTGCTGTAATTGTTTGTTATACTTTACTGTTTAATTTCTGTTCACGTTACATTAAGGTAAATTACCATCTTGGAAGAGTTGTTACATCTATAGAAAAGGAGCTACATTTAAAATATAGACAGTAACATGGGTAAACATTTTGTTTGGATGCCCTTATCACTATATCTTAGACCAATTTGTATTGTGACGTAGTTTGCTTTTTGCTAAGCAACTTTTATGTCTGTAGGTTTGTAGCTGTGTTTAAAGGGCATATTTCTGGAATTCATTAGTATTGGTACAGGTGAATAATAAACCACAATCTCAAAACATTAAACAAGTAAGATAGACTGTATAAAAACTGGGTGTAAACCCTGACCTGTCAACACATTTAGTTTCTTATCTCCAGTTTAAAGTATGTCATTTTGTGTTGCTTTGTTTACAATCTCATTATTGCTTTGGTACCTGATAAATAGGACAAAAGGGATTTTTTTTTGGTATGTAAGGAGTCGGACTAGGTTTTGGCAATGAGACGGATGTACAAACATCATTTTTGTGTTGGCCGTCCTCCTGCTCAGGGAGTTTTCTGATCCCCTGTGATATGTGCTTTGAGTCGACCAGACCACTAAGGCAAAATCAGCCGTCCTTGGCATACTTTCCACCAGTATCTGTGACTTTGTTGGAAGGATGAGACAGCAGCATGCCAGCACTGAAATGCTAAGATTGAATATTTATAGTAACGGCTGGAAAATGCCGTCACAATGCAGCTGCCTTGTGTTTCTTGCAGTCTCAATTTCATGTTAACATTGCTTTTAAATGGTGGAATCATTTAAAAATAAGTACCATTACGTCACAGCCTGCAATCATCTTGTTTACTCCTCTCAACACACTTATTTATTTTCTACTGGAAACCTTATTGATCCCTTCACACTGAGTTTTCCTTGTTTCTCAGATTGAACCACAGTGACTTGTTGTTTGTTGTTCATATTTTGAATGGAATTGGCACCTTTCATAGATGGTCAGTTTTTCTGTGATCTTGTTGAGCACGATATTGTGTTGTTGTTGTTTTTCTATTTTCACGCCTTTTCAAACAATGATGCCTAATTCCTTGGATGATAATCGTTTTATAGGCTCCTTACATAATTGTTCAGCTTAGTAGTTGTTGGGGTTAGTTTACACCAGGATTTGGATAAAGCACATGTGCAAATAATTTATGATTATGTTAAATATCCAATATAAAATATACTTTTTTGATTGTTTTGGGTCAAGTTGTAGTAGTTCCATTTGGAAGTCTTTTTGCTAGTTAGTTAGTTACTGTGATGGGTTTTTTGTTTAGTGGATTAGTTTGGATCAGTGACTGAAGAAATAACAATTCTAAAGGGTTTAGTGGTTTAAGCCCAAAACATTAAGCCTGATAATTATTTAACATTTCAAAGCCAGGTTTGGGAATTGTTTGTACTTTTCTAAATCCAGCTTTTTATTTGTCAGTATATGATATATGTTTTGTATGTCTGTATTGATTAAGGACATTTTCTACCAGCTGCACATGATTACCTCCGAAACTCTGACTGTATTTTTGTTTATAAAGCCCTATAGTGGAAGATGTAACAACCTGTTTTGGTCATTGTTGTTCATTTTTCTTCTGATATTCAGCACATTGTCAACACAACAAGAGAGTAAAAAATCCCTTGTCCTAAGTCTTTAAACCAGATCATTTGTATGTGAGTCTTGAGCCCTTGTTTGTTATCCCAACCAACACATAGCTTATTGTACATTTTGCTGTCTGAGAAATGTCGGTCTTGAGGAAAGGCCAAGTGTTAGTGAGAGTGCTTATTCATGGGAATTAAAGGTCCCATGACATGGCCATTTCTACTGATCATAATTCCATTGTTGAGGTCTACTAGAATAGATTTACATTGTTCAATTTTCCAAACTCACGGTTTCTCATACAGCATCTCTGTATAGCATGTGTATTCACTCTCGTTGGAGCTCCTGCCCCCCCTCCCTATGAGCCCACTGTGCTCTGATTGGTCAGCTCGCCCACTCTGTTCTGATGAGTCCACCACCGTTACAGCGGAACATCAGTGATTATGTGTTACAATGGCGTTAGCAACCAGAAAATGACACCAGCAATGACAAACAGATGAGAATGCTGCGTGAGGTCTGGGTGCCGTGTTGGCGGGAGATTGCGGGGCTCGCTGCTGCGGACAGTGTGAGCTGGATTACTGGGGTCGTTTCTTGAAAACACACACTCACAGCCTGGCTGTCAGTTTGTTTGTGTGCTCAGGCTAAGTTCAGGCTGAGTTTCGTGGTGTATCGCTGAGTTCACGTTGATAAATCCACAGGGCCGGTGTGTGTGTGAGGAGCTCCACTTGGAACTGGGCATGGTTACGTCACCATACTCGGGAAGAAAAAAATGAAAAAGAAAAATCTCCAACGAGGCGTTCTGGGGCAGCATAGACAGGTATTTTCTGTGTTAGAGTTTTACTCGCTACAGGGTGTACTTTGAGGGTTTGTGACTCTGCAGACCGTTTACATGCAGAAAAAGCTACATAACACACAAGGGGACGGGTAATAACCGGAAAAGCATGACATGGGACCTTTAAAACTTGTCGTCACACACACAAACAGAGGTTTGGTATATTGGTTGCAAATCCTTGTCCTTGCTTCATTTTACCCTTTGCCCCTCAATGTTCTTAAGAACTAATCTCTTTCAAAAGTGCCAGGCTGCAGAAGTGGGAACTGAAAGTTCAGTGTTAAAGCAGGGCATCCGAATTTACCTCGCCCGGCCGCTGAGTGAACAGCCCTACTTCTGCAATTTCATGCTTCACCCAATGCGGCACACGCGTATGAAACAGATACATTAGATGGGTGATAAAAAAAAATGTAATAGTGTGAAATGGATGGTGTAAAGCAACACTTGGTTAAGGTTGGTGGAGCCCTAGAATAGTTATTGGCTCTCAGTTTGACCATCTGTGAGGATCCATGTTTCTCTGGTTCACTCGCCTCTCTCAGATTTTGTTGGATTACATGACTAATGGGCTGCTGATAGTGAGTGCAGTGTGTAAGCAGCATGTGAGTACAAAAATGCATGCACTAAGCTTTAGGACTGGCTCACTAATACATCAGCTAAACCATTTTGAACTGTTTTCTTTTTGGTCATTCTATAATTTGTTATTCTATAAGGATTAAGTACAAACAATTTAAAAGTAACGTCTCTCTCACTAACATGCGTTTGTTTCACTGGGCTCAGCTATGCTTTATTGGGATCTTTAGTGGGCGTCAAGCTTTAAGGCAATTCCAAAATAGTTAGTTATTACATAATCGCTCAGTCAGGGTTTCCACAGTCAGTGGTTCATCTTTCACACAGTGCTTTGATTTGCTTTTTGTGAATTCAAACTGAGATTTAATCAAAGATTGCTATATTATAATATTACCATTTACTATATGCATAATTGAATTCAGTGTCAAAGCACTGTTCATCTCTGTTATGCCCCCACTATTGTTATGGTAATGCCTGACCACTTTATTAAATCAATGAATAATCCTAAAAAAAGGTAACTAGTGTGATGTAGACACTTCTGACACTCCTCTTAATATGCGGTAAAAGCCTGAGAGCAACGTTTTGCCTAGTTATAACAGGATGTAACTGATAGTGTGCTTTTTACTAAACTGTACTAAACACGCTGTCCAAATATT